GTTTTTTCAAAGGGATAAAAATGTTTCTAGAATGACTAAGCAGATTGTCATAAACTTCTAGCACCCATGGTCATGTTTGCTCTGAATAAGGGGCCTAAATTCACTTAATTAGCCAATTAATGTTTTGAGGGTCCTTCTTTTTTAGAGTTGGAAGTACACTATGTAAAAATCTAATGTTTTCTTTTGAAAAATGTCCTAGAGGTTGAGTGAAAAACTAACATTGAGGTTTGGCAAATTTATTATAGGGTTGGGACAGGGTGATGAGGGAGGATAAAGATTACTTACCTCTTAGGAAGTTTGTAATATAGTACAGAAAATTAATATCTAGACATATAATATAAATAGCATTGACCATAAGATTAATTTAGGCACAGGGAGGACAGTTGGGCTGAAATTAGTTTGTATTAGGGGATCATAGAAAAATAAAGGTAGCTTAAGGTCCATTTATGTTTTGGAGATTGAAAAGAAGAGGACATCAGCAATGGGTTGTTTGAAGAAACTCTTGGGGAGTAAAGAGATTTGGACATGTTTATAGATAGAAATAGGAAAGGTAACAATAGGGCCATGATTGGGTAAGTTACCCAAAGGGGTAAGTATGGTCAGGGAGGTCTGGTGGTTAATCCTCAAAAGCAAGAGAGAGGCGGGCTGAGGTTTTGAGTGGAAGTGGACATTGAGATGCAAGGAGAATGAAGCTGGCTTGGTGCTGATGACTGGCCTCAGATAACAAGGTCATCTGGGAAGGAGGGGCAGGGATGTCACTGTACTCCCAAGTGGACCCCAGAATAAATGGGAGGCAGAGAGGTGGTGGTAAGGATACCTTCTTGGTTTAACTATATAGTTGGCAATTGGCCCAGCTAATGTACCCAGTGTGGTCTTTGATAGGACTGTCCATTTAGTGGGATAGTAGTCAGCATAGCAGTTAAGATTTTATGGTTCTTTAAATTTAAAGAAGGTAGGGGCTGTTGATTTGAAATGATGAAGCCCATAAGTTCTGGAGAGCCAGGTCTAGTGGTGAATGCCTGGAATTCCAGCTATGTAGAAGGCTGAAGCCAGTGGATTGAAAGTTCTAGGCCATCCTGGGCATCTTCAGTAAAATCTGTGAAAGGACTGGGAGTAGAACTCAGATTGCTTATACCACATGAGGGCCTGGGTTCATTTAAGTCTGGAGGGAAAAGCTGACCAGTAAAAAGGAAAAAAAAAATTTTTTTGAGTCCTTCCTTTGGGGGAGAGAATTGGTAAACCCTTACATTTGACCTTTAACCCAGTGCTCTTGTTTAGAAGTTTGGGGTCAGTTCTTCACCATCATTGCTCATGATGTATTACTATACCTACAGGGAATTTCTCTTCAATGCCATTGAAACAATGCCTTGTGTGAAGAAGAAAGCCGATTGGGCTTTGCGTTGGATTGGGGACAAAGAGGCTACCTATGGTAAGGAAGCCCTTGGTCCTAGTTAAACCTGAGCTTTTTTTTTTACCGGGCTGTTGGCCTCCTGTGAATACCAACAGTTGCTCACAAAGAACATTTTGATATTAACTCTTCAACAGGAGAACGTGTTGTAGCCTTTGCTGCTGTGGAGGGAATCTTCTTTTCTGGTTCTTTTGCATCAATATTCTGGCTCAAGAAACGAGGACTGATGCCTGGCCTCACATTTTCCAATGAACTTATTAGCAGAGATGAGGTGAGTCTAAATCAAACTGGCTAAAGTGGCACCCCAAATATCTGCAACTCTTAGGCCCACCCTTGTGTTCACTGAAGGTCAGGTCCCAGGTTATCAAATGGCATCACCTCCACATTTAAGAGTTGAGCTGCATACATACTCAGAAAAGAATGAAGTGCTTTGACTACTCCATATTTTACTCATCTTCAGTATAATACATTCCTATGCACATACCTATTATATGTATAAGAGCACAAAACTAAGAGTACTTGATGGGATTTTGGGGAGTATTTTGTTTGGTATTCTGAGATTCTGTACGTGTATTTTTTTTTCTTTTTCTTTTATTGGTGCATTATCGTGTACATGGTAGTTGGGTTCATGGAGCCTACTATATTTCAAAGTTTGGTAAGCTTCCTGATGCAGTAATCCACTTGGCTCCAGCTTGCCTTTATAGGCACTTGGATTAAACTGAGGAAAGGAAGGTGAAGATGCTCAGACTGTGGTTTAAATCGCATCAGAAGGGCAAGGAGCATGAACCCTCCCATTTCTGGAGCCCAATGGGCAGATCGAACAGCTGATCTTCCCTTGTAGGAAGATAAACTGGAGCTTATTGGGTTTAATGCACTCAGATTTGCAGATTTGTTTCACTTGAAATTGCATCCTTAGTTCTTGAGCATCTAAAAGCTAACTGCCCTGTCCCTCTGGGGATAGAGGCAAAATTATAGAGCCCATGGCTGTGAAAAGAATACTTGTGCAAAGTTTCACTCCTTTTTGGACGCCACAGGGCAGTGAGGAAAAGGCCTGGCCTGTTACCTAGGGGGCAGCTCTGAGAGCCTTGGGTGGGGCTGAGGTCTGCCTCATTGACATCAGCAGAGTGGACAGTTCGTTGTCCCCTTGACAGTCCACAGTCTCAGTGTGGCCAGGCAAGTTGTATGAGGATATAGGAAGGAATGAAGCAATTCATATTCCATGTTAACAATAGAATTCTGACTTTATCATGATTTCGAACTTTCAACTTTCTTCTAGGGTTTACACTGTGACTTTGCCTGCCTGATGTTCAAACACCTGCTGCACAAACCATCAGAGCAGAGAGTAAAAGAAATAATCATCAATGCTGTCAGGATAGAACAGGTGGGTGCTAGGTGAGGGTCACTGGTGCTTGCTTGAGGATATCTTCATGCCTCGGGATACTCAAATTGTTTTTGGTCTCTAGGAGTTCCTCACAGAAGCCTTGCCTGTGAAGCTAATTGGGATGAATTGCACTTTGATGAAGCAGTACATTGAATTTGTGGCAGATAGGCTTATGCTGGAGCTGGGCTTTAACAAGGTAAAGCATTGTTTGTAGTCTTCGGCTTCTTTTGAAATTGGAGTTTTGTACTTAGGGTCTTTTTTTTTTTTTTTTTTTTTTTTTTGGTACTTATGTCTTGATGTGAAATTTTTCAGGTTTTCAAAGTAGAAAATCCATTTGACTTTATGGAGAATATTTCACTAGAAGGGAAGACTAACTTCTTTGAGAAGAGAGTAGGCGAGTATCAGAGGATGGGAGTGATGTCGAATCCAACAGATAATTCTTTTACCTTGGATGCTGACTTTTAAATGAACAGAAGATATGCTTTTATTTGGCTGATTTCCCCCCCCCCCCTTACCTGCCATCCCCCCAAATCAGCTAAAATGAATCCACCAGCTACACCATTGTCCATATGTTCATTAATGGCATCTAAAAAACCGTGTAGCTACCTCAGAATCCTTGTTGGCTTTGGCAAGCAGGCTGTCCAGCTTCACAGCACTAATGATGACGATCCGGCTTCAAAGTGAGGAACCCTCAAGCAAGCCTGCCCCAGCAGGATTGAACATTTACCAACCACCAGACAGTTCAGATGTCTGTCTCACTGCTACAAAGAAAACTTTAAAGTTTACTTAACTAGTTTGTAAATAAAACTGGCACTTTACACACAAATGAACATTGTATTGTCAAGGGGAAAGCCTGATTTGTTTGGTTTCTACAACAAATGCAAAGTGTTGTACTTACCACTAATGGCCAATTCAAAATTCACTGAGCTAAAGTTAAACTTCTGTTGACTAAGCATGTAATTTAGATTTTGTTTTCTTTAATGAACTGAAGAATTCAATAGATTTTTAAGTCAGTCCTGTGTGTATGTAGATAGTCAGCTGGTGCCAGTAGAAGATGATTTGTGTATTTTACTCTGGACCCCAGGTAGGGTGTCAGCATGTCTTGCTCAACTGAAGAATGATGTGTTTCAGGGCAAGCAGCTTCTAACTTAAGTCACTGGGAATTGAGGTGTGATTTGGGTGACTGCTAGTGACCCAGTGACATGTGAGGAACAGTATCATTGTTTCTCAGATTGTACTTTCCTCAATTTCTACTTGGTGTGAAAAGACTTAAAGGTCTTTGGATTTAAAATGCTATTATGACTTTTCAGATCATCCTTAGGCAAAGTGACCTGTCTCAGCTTTCCTATTAATAGTGGTGAAACCAGAACTGAAATTGGCTCTGCTAGATGTTGTGTTTATTTCTAACTTCGTAAGTAGGTACTGTTGAGACTTGATCATTTTTACTTGTCTCTGTAATTAGAAAATATGTTTTACTCTATGTCTATTTAGGTTTTATTTGTTTTGGGGGGAAAAAAAATCACCCAGTATTATCTTAAAGACATTGTTCTAGCTATTCTAACGTATGCCTAAATATAAGCATCACCTGGTGAATTCTTTAACAGGTAATTTCAGGTAGAGGTATAGTTAACAGCCAGTTTAGATCAATCTACCTTTGGAATAAAAAAACCCAAGGTGTTACACAGAAGATGGTGCATGACTTGTATTGATCTTTGGCTCTGTTTGTTAACTGATTGGGTTGTGTATTAGCTGACCATTTGTCAGTTTCCTTTTATTGTATAGTCTTTGAATTCCTATAATATGGGACTCTTGTATCTTAAATTATTGTTGGTTAAAGTTAATAAATTCGGGTTATATTGTCCTTACCTTTGTGTGACACTAAAATGAACCCTTTGCCTTGCATTGCCAGATGTAAGTTGGGAAGTGATTTTAGGATTCTACCTCCCATCAGCTCAGTAATGTGGGAATTCATTTCTCTCAACTCAGATTGTTTCCTAATCTGTTTAAAGGGAAACTCTCAGCATGAAGCATTTCATTGTTGACTAACGCTGAATACTGCACCAAGTGTTAAATGATTGAAATGAAACTGTTCTTATGTCAGTTCCTTGATTGGCAAAATTTACATTTTAGTTGAGGAAGAAAAAGCATTTTTCATAAAGGCTTGCAAATCTGTTTGCTTTTCATCTGTTCTGGGGGAGGTATTTCCCTTGTGCTCATTCTGGCGCAGGGTACCTAGGAGGCCCAGAAGCAGCAGCAGCTGCACTGCAGGTGGGATTTGGGAACAGAACTGAGTTTCGCTTTCTGACAGCGATGGGCTAGCCTCTCCTGGGCCCCTGCATTCATTCCCATCTCAAAACATGGGGCTGAGCGCCTCCCCCTCACCCAGCTGACCTATGGGGTTTCTGGTCTGTACCTGTCTGTAAAATCCTTTTCCTGACAGTCCCACCTGCCTTCCTAAAGCCTTTTAGAACTCACAACTCCTGTCTGTCCCCAAGCTAACCAGTCCTTGCATGCTGCACCCCTGGGTCTCCAGCTGCTCATTCTGCTACAAAGCCGCCTTGTCATGTACTGTCCTCGGCCTGGAGATGGGGCCAAGAGCCAGGAGGAATTCCTCGCTCTGGAGTGTTACTCTTGAAGAGGAAAAACCAGGTAAGTAGGTCTGAAGTGTTAGAAGGTGGCAGTGATGTGGAGCCAGATTTGCAAAGGGGCAGCACAGAATGCTGAGCCGGTGGCACTAGGTGGGATTGGCCTAGTGGAGAGGGTGACAGTTCTCTGCAGTGGGGCCACTGGTGTGATGAGTCTTGGGGTCTGCTGTTCCTGCTTTCTGAGGTTAAGGGAGGGGACAAGTTTTTGTCCATTTCTACACCTCAGCACAGCTTTGAAGGATGAGTGACTGGCAAATGATGAAGTAATCCTGTGGGAGCTGAAGTGTTTGGGGTGGTAACTCCGCCTTGGATAAGGTGAACTCAGAGTTACACAGTAGAGGGTTTTGCCTTTGTACCCAAAGGTGCTTGATGAATGTCCCGGACTTGGAAAGTTAGGTTGAGGGCAGACCCACAGAAGAAGTGTGGGTCGGTTGTGCTTCAGGAGGGTCTTAAGTGCTAGGGCAGCCTCACTGTGGGTGGCCTGCTATCTTTTCAGCTTTGGGTATGCTGGGTTTCCTGGGAGCTTTTAAAATACCAGTGCCTTGACCCTACTTCTGGAAAAGGCACCCTGCCCAGTTTTAACTGGATGTGTTGTGTTTTCTGATTTGTCAACTCCAGACTTGCTTACCTAAGGGTTACATTTCATTGCATGTGAACAATTAGGGCCCTGCTCATGCTCAGTGTTGAGCCTGGCTGCTAAGAGCAGGCCCATGAAACTTATCCCTCTGTCTGCCAGGCACTGCCTGGGCTGGGGGTATATCTCAGGGGTAAAGCATTTGTCTAACATTTGCCTAACGGTGAAGCCCTGGGGTTTCCCCCCTGATACTGGGGGGGAAATCAACTCATAAAGCAAGGTCATGAGTTTATCATGTCATCTGCCTGAACAGCTGCCTGGTGGTTTCTGCGTGTCATGGAGGATTGGGGCTCATTGGTGAGGGGCTGCAGTTTTGAAGCAGAGGGTTGCATGGCTTGGGTTCTGATGAGAATCCAAGTATCTCCTGGTTTCGATTTGGGCACCAGAGAAAGAGGACACATCAGCGTTGCCTCCTTGTACTCCCCGAGAGGGGGAGTGTCACATTAGAACATTTTTACACCTACTAGCTGACCATTGCTATTGGAAGGCTCAGTAACCACACTCACCTTGGGCTGAGCTCTACAGACAAGAGACCAAGATGGCCTGAGAACCCCCTTGCTTCAATGATCAGTAACAGAAAGTTAAGTGGGTGATGGCTTGCTGGGGGGCGGGGGGGGGGGTTCCAGATGCAGGACACAAGTGACCCTGGAAGCCTATCAGAGTACCCTGCAAGTGGTGGTTAGCCTCTTGGGGAAATTGAAGGGTGAGGGGCTAACAAGGCTTGAATGTGCAAGGGTTGACCTACAAAAGGGAGGGTTTGGGGCTAGAACTTCCCCAAAAAGCCAGGAACCAGCTTAGTGGGAACTGGACAGTAACCTCATGGCACAAAGTAGAGGGTTCAGGTATTTTTTTCCCCCAAAAAATGTTTGTTGACCAAATACACAAATGAATGAACCAAGAGTAAGAGTTTTGGGCTGGGGTTGTGGCTCAGCAGTAGAGTAGTCACCTAGCACGGGCAAGACCCTGGGTTTGATCCTTGGCACCACATAAAAATGAATAAATAAAGATATTGTGTCCAACTACACCTAAAAAATAAATATTAAAAAGAATAAGTGTTTTAATCTTCCTGGATTCAAAAATTAAAAAATTTCAGGCTGTACCTTTCACAGATTTATAATCCAAGAACTCAGAAAATAAATTAAAATTGGTCAGTACTTAGTCCCAACACTGCTACATTTGATTCCCACAGATGGGGCCTATGATCCTAAATTATAAAACAAGGAAACGAACCACATGCAGCAATGGGTGTAAAAATCCTAAGAACTTCAGATAACAGGTTGAGCATACATGATTGACCTGGGCGTGGTGGTACACACCTGAAATCCCAGCTATTTGGGAGGTTGAGGCTGGAGGACTTCAAGTTCAAGACCAGCCTCGGCCACTTAGTGAGACCCTGCCTCAAAATAGAAGGGCCTGGGGCTGTAGCTCAGTGGTAAAGTGCCTGTGGGTTCAATCTCCAATCCCCCCCTCCTAAGAGAGGGAATGAAGAAGTATGACTAATGACCTTCCAGCACTGATTGCTTCATCCTCAGAAGCAGGAGAGTCCAAAGGAATCTCAAATCAGATAAAGGATCCATACCTAGGCTCTCAGGAGTCAAACTGCCAAACGTGAACAAAGTTCACTAAAGTAAATTTACAGGTATGTACTTAAAGAGGAAGGATCTTTAAGCAGAAACTTTCAATAGGAGTCAAAAAATCATGGAATCTTTTAAATGCTGAAAAAATTATTGAGCTTAACTGGTATTAAGAAGTAAGAGAAATACATTTTCAAAGTTTTTTTAAAAAATCATTCCCATACACCCACCCAAAAAAATCACTAAAGAATATCCTTTAAGGAAGACAAGAATTGAGCCCAGAGGATGGTGGTGAACAGAGAAACTGGTAAACTTGTAGTGAATCTAAACCATTGAGAAACCAAGCTCACTACAATAGTGGACAGTTACAGCCGAGAATAGTGAGAGGTGGAATTAAAGAATACTAAGGGCTTTGTGCTATTGGGAGGCTAGAGATAGGGTTACCTTGGTTCATTTTGAGTTTTATATAGTTCAAAATGAAAGGGTAACAACTGGAAGAATAGCTTTGGAATGTAGAGCTTGGTTGGTTTAGTACAAGACAGAAAAGATGGGGTGGGGCAAAGAAAAAGCACTATAATGAAAAGCACAAAATAAGATGGCAGAAAGAAAATTTACCAGCAAAATAAACGTAAATGGTGTAAATTAACAAAAGATAAAATCTTCAGGTTTAATTTAAAAAATTCTAACTCAATTATTTCCCAAAAATCACACACATAAGAATGTACAGGGATAGGAAAAGATAGGGAAAAAAAATCCCAACTCATACTGAACAACGGTGTTCTAAGGAAAAGACTTCAAGGCAAAAAGACTCATTAGAAATAAGTCAATTGAGATACAGCTTCCATGCTTTTAGGGAATAAAAGCCTAAAGACCATGAGATTCAGTATTCCTTAGGGCAGATTATTATAAAAAATAAAGAAGTCATCAAAAAAGAAAAAAGAAAGAAGTCATTGACCTAAAGAATAACAGATCACCTGGGAAAATAGAGCACTAAAAACCAGAGCGGCGTGGCCTCTGCAGTGTGTTTGGAGTTACCTTATAAGTCTGCCTCCCCAGGGACTGGGGGAGGCCTGGGCCCAGTGACTTAGGGGACAATGTCTCCTCTTGGTTCTGACTCTGTCCCCTTGAGTTGATGTGTTTGTTTACTTACTGTCCTCCCTTGTCCTTCCCTTTGTTCTTGGGTTTGATTTTATGCCAGTTGGTCCCTCCTTGTCCCCGGATCCACTTTTGTCTCTAGAGGGTTGGTCTGGCATGGTTTTGAGATACTCGATATAAGTAGAAATTATTGGCAAACTGGGCTGGGGATGTGGCTCAAGTGGTAGCACGCTCACCTGGCATGCGTGAGGCACTGGGTTCGATCCTCGGCACCACGTAAAAGTTAAATAAAGATATTGTGTCCACCTAAAAGCTAATAAATAAATATTTTTTTAAAAAGAGAAATGATTGGCAAAGGCTCTGGATTTGATTTCTAATAGAACATTCAGGATGTTGGAGGCAGTGGATGGTGGGTCTGCCTTGCAAAGAGAAATTTGATTTACATTTCATAAGCTCCTCTCCCCCTTGGTATATTAGACGGTTTTGCATTTAAAAAAGGTTTGTGTGGCAGCATCTAGAAGAGAACTTCACCCACTGGGGTGGGAGCCAGTGAGCTGGCAGCAGGCCCCCCTTGGTGGGGTGGAGAAGAGGACTTGGGGGGTCACGTGTCCCCATTTTTCTTGGTGACTCTTTCTCTCTGGTAGGAAAATGAGGCACTGGACCTCCTCTGTGTCCTAGGATTCTGCCTTGCTCTGTCCCAGGGAGTTTCCAGACCACGGAATTTCCCTGGGCCTCTGGGGAACAGGAAGCAAGACGCAGAACTTTCTGGAACATAGGGACTTGTCTTCCTTTGGACCTGGCTGCTTCCGTTTCTCACTGTCCACCGTGTGCCTCAACTCCTTCACGGACCTTCATTCCTTCACCTTGGATCCTCCACCATCGAACCTTCAGTGGGGCTGGGGCTGGGGCTGGGGCTGGGGCTCAGCGGTAGAGCACTTGCCGGGCATGTGTGAGGCCCTGGGTTCAATTTTCGCACTGCATATAAATAAGTAAAAATAAAGGTCCATTGACAATAAAAAAAGGAAAAGAAATGATACTTAAAAAAAAAAAAAAAAAAGCACCTTCAGGGTCCAGCCCTGCAGGAAGGATGAGGGGTGGGACTAGCAGTGCCTGAGGCCAGGGCTTGGGACTCTGAGCCTGTGGCTACATCTGGGTCCCCTACCAACATGGGCTTCTTTTCCTTTCCCTACCGTTTGTGGGGGGACCCCTAGACTGCTTCCAGAGGTGAGTCTAGGGTGTCTCTGGTCCTAAGTACTACTAAGCCCAGTACTATTATTCAGTGTGGGCAGAAGGGTAGCAGGAACCAGAGGGGCTTGGCAATGGAGCCACCAAGAGCAGGGTCCCAAACAGTGGACCAGGACCAGAAGCATCAAGGTCCTCTGGTGTTTGCTAGAAAAGCCAGTTCTCAGCTCACCCTCCTGGCCCCAACCTGCGTCAGGGGTTCAGGGGCTGGGCTCAGAGATGGGGGTGCTGCTGAGCACATACCTGCTCTATTGCTTCCCACCATGGCCTTGGGCAGCTAGTCACCCCCAAACCTCGGTAGCCTGGGTGGCCAGCCTGGCATGTTGGGGTCTGCCTTAGTGAAGAGCCACGTCCTGTTCCTGGGACCCCTCGGGCCCTGGGTTTGGTCTGGGTCCAAAAGTCCACATTGGGAAACAGCTTAGTTTGGGTCTGAGGGGCTTCATCTGGGGAGGGACAAAG